TGTACCCCAGAAGTGCATTAATGTACATAGCTACCATTCAATAAAAAAAAAAAAAAAAAGACATTTATATTCTACACTTAGTAAATTTAACATGTACCCTTGTAAAACACACCATAGGTGTGGTCCCACCAATTTACAGATAATTTTTACTGACAATTTCTTCACTAAAGTATCATTAATCAGTCAAGCTTCCCACCCTTCTCTAATTTATCTAGATATGCCCCCTCCTATCCACTTGAAACAACACTGGCAAGGTAGGCAGAATAGAGAATGTCCATACTTAATCTGTGGAATCTCTGAAAATGTTACAAGACATGTCAAAAGGTACTTTACAGACATAACTAAAATTATGAACTTTAAAACAGGGAGATTACTTTACGTGACCCTTAAAAGCAAAAATGCAGAAAAGATATAGCAGAAGTCATCATTGAGATCAAAATGTGAGAACTTGAGGCAGTGCTGTTGGCTTGAAGATGAAGGAGACGAAGTGAGAAGCACAGCAGGTATTTTAAGGAGCTAAGAGACAACTTGATAACCAGGAGGGAAACAGATACCCCAGCCCTACGGAAAGGAATTGTATGAACATGACAGAAAAATCTCCCTCTCCCTACCAGAATCTCCAGATAAGAGCCTAGGCCTGCTGACACCTTGATTTCAGCCTTGATACTTGGAGCAGAAAAATCATCATAGTCTATCTGGACTTCTCACCTATAGAACCATGAAATAATAAATCTGCATTTTTTAAGCCACTAAAAAAAATTACTTGGGGTAATTTGTTTTAGAAGCAGTTAAAAAAAATACAAATGGTAACTTTTTTTTTCTTTTAAGAGACAGAGTGTCACTTTATGACTCTCCATAGCATGCCGTGGTATCACAGCTCACAGCAACCTCCAACTCCTGGGCTTAAGCAAATCTCTTGCCTCAGCCACTTGAGTAGCTGGGACTACAGGTGCCCGCCACAACGCCCAGCTATTTTTTGTTGCAGTTTGGCCGGGGCCTGGTTCGAACCCACCCCCTCAGTATATGGGGCCAGCGCCCTACCCACTAAGCTACAGGCGCCTCAAATGGTAACTTTTTATAGTACATTATCTTAAATGTGATATTAAAACTCCCAAAGAACCAAACACTAAATGTCAGAAATAAAGCAAAAGAACTGGAGCTAATTCCCAGTAACTTTAACAAAACACTTAAAGCATTCTCCTACTTGGCATAAACATGTGAACCATGCCTTTTTCATTCTAGAGTAGAGAAATAAGGTACTGGGATAGAGGATTTTAAAAGTTATAGACTGGCTAACTGTGGTGGCTCATGACTATAATCGCAGCACTTTGGGAGGTCAAGAAAGGAAGATCTCTTGAGACCAGAAGTTCCAGACCAGCCTGAGCAATATAGCAAGATCCCATCTCTACAAAAATGAAAAAAAAAGAACAAGGCATAGTAGCCTCGTTACTGGATTACATATAATCCCAGCTAGTCAGGAAGGTGAGGCAGGAAGATCGCTTGAGCCCAGAAGTTCAAGCTCATCGCTTGAGCCCATAGCTCAAGGGTACACTGAGCTATGATTATGCCACTACACTCCAGCCGGGCAGTAGAATAAGACTCTATCTCAAAATTAACGTATAATGAAATAAAATCTATAGACCAAGTATGTATGAACACAACCCAAGGCCAACAGGTATAAGTCTTCAAACATTGGCCTCAGACATATAAATCTAATGTTACATTACTAACTACATTACTAACTACTGCTCAAAACCAAACCTTGAGAAAGGTTCAGGGAAATGAGGAAGAATCCCAATATTTGTTTTGTTTTTTGTTTTTTTTAGAGATAGATCTCACTCTATCACCCAGGCTGGAGTACAGTGGCATAATCATAACTCACTATAGCTTTGAAATCTTGGGCTCAAGGAATCTTCTTGCCTCAGCCTGCCAGGTAGCTAGGACTACAGTCACTTGCCACCATGCCTAATTTTTTTATGTTTATTTTTGGCATAGGCAAGAGTCTTACTATGTTACCTAGGCTTGTCTCAAACTCCTGGCCTCAAGGAATCTACCCACCTCAGCCTCCCAGAGTGTTGGGATTGTAAGTGTGAGCCACCAGGCCTGGCCAAATCCACATTTAGATGAATAACACTTATAATTTTTTTTCTTTTTGAGACAAAGTCTCACCATGTCACCCTTGGTAGAGTGCCATGGCATCACAGCTCACAACAACCTCAAACTCTTGGGCTCAAGCGATTCTCCTGCCTCAGCCTCCCAAGCAGCTGGGACCACAGGCGCTGGCCACAATGCCCAGCTATTTTTTGTTACAGTTGCCATTGTTGGTTAGCTGGCCTGGGCTGGGCTTGAACTCGCCACCTTCAGTGTATATGGCTGGTACCATAACCACTGTGCTACAGGTGTCCAGCCAGCACTTATAATTTTTAAATGGAAAGTAAAAAGAAAACATTGTTCATGTATGGGGCTAGCAAGCTTTTATTTACTCTGATTGCTTTTATTATCTTTCTAAAAGAATTGTATTTATTCTTGCATTAGTAGGGATATAACAAAAGTGGTATTCTTACATTTTTTTACTTTGGTGTAAACTGAAACTTTTCTGGAGGGTATTATGGTAATAAGTATCAAGAAGAAAAAATACCTGTTTTTAAATTATTTTTTAATATTTATATTTCTGAATAAAGTAGCCTCCTTTTTATAAATCTGCCCTAAAGAAATACACATCAAAAATCTACATACAGGGGCAGCGCCTGTGGCTCAAAGTAGTAGGGCGTCAGCCCCATATGCCGGAGGTGGTGGGTTCAAACCCAGCCCCGGTGCCTGTGGCTCAAGTGGCTAAGGCTCCAGCCACATATACCTGAGCTGGCAGGTTCAAATCCAGCCCAGACCCGCCAAACAATGATGGCTGCAACCAAAACAAATAGCCAGGCATTATGGTAGGTGCCTGTAATCCCAGATTCTTGGGAGGCGGAGGCAGAAGAATCACTTGAGCCCAGGTATTGGAGATTGCTGTGAGCTGAAATGCCAGGGCACTCTACCCAGGGCCACAGCTTGAGGCTCTGTCTCAAAAAAAAAAAAA